TAAGGTCTCCTCTGAGTCTCCTTTTCTCCAGACTAAATCCCAGTCTCCTCATGGGACTTGTTCTCTAGACCCTTCACCAGCTTCGTTGCTCTTCTTTGGATGTGCTCCAGCACTTCAATGTCTGTCTGGTAGTGAGAGGTCTGAATTTGGTTGAAGAAGAAACTCCAAACTGTGCTTGTCCTTGCCTCCTGCTATACATCTACCCTTTTCCTTAGGGACTGGAAAGGTATATTCCTTGTGCTTTGAACACACCATCTTTGAAAATAAACCAGCTCTCCCAAGCCCCTTCTACCCTCAAGGCAGCCCCAGGGTCTTCAGTCTGCTTATCTCCTGCACTTTCCTCAGGACCTTAAAACTCTACCATCTCTACCACCTGTGGCCAAGCCTGCCATTAGCGATGATTTTCCTGCCAGTTCTTCCTTGTTCATAAGAAAGAGGTCAATTGCAGCACCTTTCTTAGTTGGTCCATCAGCATGTGCCACAAAAATCTGTCCTGAGTGCCTTCCAGAAATCTTCTGAATTATTTCAGTCACAGTAAGTTGTCCACCCAGAAGATGTCAGGAAGGTTATTCTCCCAAGAGAATCAAGGCCTGTGATAAGGAGATGACTCCTACTTGTTTACAGAAAGTTTTGGCCACTTGTCAATTCAGCAGTCTTTGGCAGAAGCTTGACCACAACACGACCTTTGATGGTCTCCTCTGATCCTTAAGAATTCAGCCAGCTCATCATTCATTTCATAACAGAGCTCTATGTATTTGAGCTGATCTTTTGTTCAGCTTCCTGGTCTTATTTTCCCCACCTGTTGTCCCTGAGTGCCTGTATTCGTTCATACAGTCTCCATCACGCAACCCTTCCTGCCATGTCACCAATTCCAGTCACATGACAGCTCTGCAACTGTCCAGACTCCCAGATCCTCCCTGTCTGTACATAAGCACTTGCATCCTGGGGAAACAGACACTTCAGATGAGCCATTGGTCATCCCACCTTCTCAGGAGGAAGGTGCAAGAGCCTTTGTTGTCATGCTTTCCGTTATGCATGTCCCCTTCTCCTCTCAGTTCTTCAGTCTGCAAGCTTTGGTCTCCATCCACTAACAAGTCTAGTTCAAAAGCCTTCCTCACCAGCTTTGCAAGCCTGTTGGCAAAGAAACCCTTGCTCCACTTTGTCTTTCCACAGCAATTCTGATCTACACAGCTGATTTACAGGATACCTTCATTTCTGTCGAAGTCCAGTCATAGGTGTTTAGTTTCCCTCCCAGCCCTGTGCTCCCCAAAGTTTAAACAGCGTGATAAAAACTGGGGTTTGCAGACTAAAAAGGTAAAAACACTCTTGAAAACAAGCAGTCTATTCATCACGGTGGGGCTGGAAGAAGAGATCTCAACCTAAACAAAGGCAGGTAGAACAGAGATGCACTTAGCTTAGATGCTAAGTGCAAATCATTAAAACACATATGAACAGCACAAAAAAACCACAAGTATTCTCTTACCTCTGCCATGTCTTCAAAACAGCTGCCTACTAGTGGATGAGGACTACCTTCATCTGTCATTTCAACAGTGTCTTCTATATGACCCAGTAACTTCACACTAAGTTCATGAATGTCCGATATACGACTAAATATATTTTCCACATCCTGCAAAAAGCAACAGAACCAGACAAAAATCACAGGGCACAATTTATAAGAGGAAGAATGTTATGTGTTATGAAAGTCGAGCACTTCCTTAAACAGAACAAGATTTTATAATATATTTGATAATATACTTACTGTATAATTTATATAAGATCATAGAATTTACTTTTAAAATAATGGCTATATATATATGTATAAATATATAAAAATTTACAATGACTCAAACACGGCAAAGAACAACAGTGACAAATCTTAAATTACAGGCCTGCAAGTGAACAGAGTAAATAGGGTGCTTTCTTCCGCAGTTCTACAAAACCAGTGCTTACCCACAAGTGCTCCTTCACTATTTCTATTTTAGAACTCACTTCCTCTACTATTGATATGTTAAACTGGACAACAGTTAAGTTCCAGAAGCATTGAACTAGATTTATAGATATCATAGTAGAGGTTTTTTTTGTGGTTTGTGCAATACTTACATGAGATGAAAATAGTTTGGAGTTGGAGGCATATGGCTCTCTGAAAACTCTGATTATGAGATTTAGTTCCCTTATGTATTGTCGAACCTCTGCCATAAATGACTTCACTAGGTCATAATAGGTTTGCTCCCCTGAGGTGGAGGGTTCCTCATCAGATAAAGTTAGTGTGCTTAAGTCTTCTACATCCTGATGGAACATATCCATTAATACCTAGGTAGCAAAAAGAGAGGGAAATGTATAAAGTGAGAACAACTTATTTTCAAGATCTACCAGTAAGTTACCAGTAAAAGAAATCTATTATTCCCATAAATCAGACTGATCAGCAATAAGATTTATTTATTATCACTCTGCAATTGGTTGAGTATCACAAAAGCAACATTCATTGCTATAAATTTGCAAGTCATTATTTGCAGTGGCAATTTCTGAAGAATTCCCAGTCATTTAGACCAATCCAGGCATGTCTCCAAGAATGTGGTCCTAAAATTATTTACAATTTTAAAAGGTTTATGAAGTACACAGACACATCAAGCTGTATTCTCCTACTCTGAATTAGCCATACATAATCTAAGTTTATGAAGATACTATGAAGTAACTGTTATCTATGAAGATACTTTTTTACCTGAAGTAAATACCACTATTTTACCTGAAGTGTATGCATTTTGGCTTTTCAGCTTTAGCTTTAACAGGAAGATCGTGCTCAGAACGCTGTAATCATCTGCGATGAACACTGGCCTGCCCACACACTGCACGTGGCCTGGTTTCTGTTCTTAACTCCTGAGTTCTCTTATTAAAACAGACCCTCAAGGAAGGGCACCAGCTTCAGAAAAAGTGGCAGTCACATTGCAGAATTACACAGACAAAAAGCCCTCTAAAAACAATGACTACCAGAGGTCCCAGTTCATGCCCAAGCAAGGCCTACCAAGCACAAGCAATTAATCATTCAAATTTCTCAAGAAAAGCAGATCACTGAACACTTCTGTCAAAGATGGTACCTACACCAGGAGTCATTACAATAACTTAGCAAGTGACAAACAGAAATCACACTTTGGGTTGTTTCCATGATACTCAAAGAACATCTTAAAGGTAAACTAAGTAAGCTGACTGCAAATTAGTAAAAGCTATCCTAATTTTAAGTATCTTTAGCAAAAAGAAAAGCTAAGAGGGTCCATAAACAAACTACAATGACAAAGCAATTCTTAACAAGCCAGCATAAGATGTAGTTCAACATACAAGATGACTTTGTCCTCAGACAGACAGATGGGAGAGTCTTCTTTTCTCCATTTCTTCTGCCCAGAGCTACAACCCTTCCAGGAAGTCATGAAGTGTATCAATGCATGTGAACTTCAAAATAAATGAGAACTTCAGTGCTGCTTGCCAGCCTCCCTTCCTAACAGATGCAGGTGAAGCCATGGCAACCTACACCTGTTACTGCAGAGACTGACATGACCACTGTCAATCACTGAAAAGACTGAGGAAAAGACTGCAGGATCAAAGCTGTAGATACTCCTCTGAGAACACCAGGAAGGGAGGCTAACACATTAAACATGAACTAGAGTTTTTAAAAATGGCAGAAAACAGAATGAAAAAGTGTTTTTCAAAATAATTACAAAACTGGACATCAAGGATTAAGCTTCTGAACGAGCCACAGCAAGCACGACATTTACAGTAGAAGTCGTCTTTTCCTAAAGCATGTTACAGGTACTTCTCCAGAATACATGTCAGTTTATCAAGCTGTTGACTACTGACACTAGCCAAATGAACTATTCTGCAAGAGCATACTTGGGGACCTGTAAGTTCAAGAGATGGTCTGGTAGGTTCATCAGACTTGAATACTGGAAGAAACACACCTACCTAAAGCAGTCATTCTTCACCCAGGTCCTGTCCTAACACTCCTCAAAAATATACAGGTCTAATGAGGAGGGCAATGGGCACACAGCACGTTCTTTCTCCTAGCAAGCCAAAGTTCCCAGCTACACACCCTGGTCTTAAGCTTCTCTGAAAGCAGAATAACAGACATTTTGCATTAAGACTGACTACTTCTGAAGGCGATTCATCTTTCAAAGCCAGTAAATGTAGATGGAACTCAGGTTATAAGGAGAATCCTAACTGATTCTGGAGAATTGGACATTATGGGGTCACCACTGTAGGAAATTACATTGAATAATGCAAGTATGCAAGAAGGTCCCAGTATTTGTAACTTTACTTCATGGACACAGTTCTACAACGTACTTGAGCTACAAGATTCTAGACTGTATTCACGAGGTGCATATATCACTACTATGAAATCCACAGAAACAAGTTAAAGTAACTGAACCCCATTTATTGAATTTAGAGCAACGGGAAGCACAAGTAGATAACAGAAGAAAACTACCAGTGACGAGTGGTGTTCCTCAGGGGTCAGTATTGGTGCCCGTGCTGTTTAACATCTTTGTCGGCAACATGGACAGTGAGATTGAGTACATCCTCAGCAAGTTTGCAGATGACACCAAGCTGTGTGGTATCATTGACAAGCTGGAGGGAAGGGATGTCATCCAGGGGGACCTTGACAGGCTAGAGAGGAGGGCCTGTATGAATCTCATGAAGTTCAGCAAGGCCAAGTGCAAGGTCCTGCACATGGGCTGGGGCAATCCCAAGCACAAATACTGGCTGAGGGGAGAATGGATTGAGAGCAGTCCTGAGGAGAAGGACTTGGGGGTGCTGGCTGATGAGAAGCTCAACATGAACTGGCAGCACAGAAAGCCAACCGTATCCTGGGCTGCATCCAAAGAAGCATGGCCAGCAGGTCGAGGGAAGTGATTCCGCCCACCTACTCTGCTCTCGTGAGACCCCACTGGGTGTACTGCATTCAGCTGTGGGGTCCCCAAGATAAGAAAGACATGGAGCTGCTGGATCAGCTCCAGAGGAGGGCCACAAAGATGATCAGAGGGCTGGAGCAACTCTCCAATGAAGACGGGCTGAGAGAGTTGGGGCTGTTCAGCCTGGAGAAGAAAAGGCTCCGGGGTGATCTTATAGCAGCCTTCCTGTACTTAAAAGGGGCCTACAAGAAAGCTGAAGAGGGACTTTTTACAAGGGCGTGTAGTGATAGGACAAGGGGCAATGGCTTTAAATTGAAAGAGGGAAGATTTGGATTAGATATAAGGAAGAATTTTTTCACTCTGAGGGTGGTAAGGCAGTGGAACAGGTTGCCCAGAGAAGCTGTGGATGCCTCATCCCTGGAGGTGTTCGAGGCCAGGCTGGATGAGGGTTTGGAGCAACCTGATCTAGGGGAAGGTGTCCCTTTGATGATCTTTAAGGTCCTTTCCAACCCAAACCATACTATGATTCTATGAAAATCAGCTTACATTTTAATGAAGTTTTTCACAGACAAGGCAAAATTTTCCAGATGGATGGCTGGCTGGCACAAAAGCGAGTGTGAAAGAGCTTGAGGAAAAAAGTAGCACACAAGGCAAAGAAACTGTTCTGGTTGTTTTGTTTCATTTTATGGGTACAAACATAATATACTATAAAGTTTCTTGATGTAACTGGAAAGAAAACACCTGGGGAGCACCTTTCAATGGCTTGTTCTGCTGAGGTAGTAAACCAACAGGTCTGCTTAGAGCTTTTCAAAAGTTTCTTCTCTGTATATATTAAAGAGTTCCTACAACGTAATGTAATGGAGGTTCCTAAATCAACCTCATCACAGCTCTTCTGCTCACCGCCTTTCCTAGGATAGAAAGAAGCACTTGTTCCTGTTGCTATCCTGTGACGAATACTCAAACATACACTTTCAAACCCTGCCCTAACAACCCAGGCAGATATATCCAAAAGCAAATGACCAAGACTACTGTCCTGACTGAGAAGTACTTGACTCTTCAAGATCTCACAAGATATCTCAAGAGAGAGTAAAGAAAGGTGAAGAAAGACAAAAAAAAAGCAAG